TTGAGAGACTTTCATGGGGCGACGGTGCTACTCCTCTTGGGGATGTAATGTTATGTTCTTCAAGTGTTCTGGAGTGAAAATGAGCACGGGCCTCCGGATGGGTCCCCACCGACGTAACAACTGCCCACAACTCCAGGACATGGAGACAGAGCAACTTCTCTTCACCCTAAATCAAAGTCCTCTTTCCTGAGATAAAATTGCCGTGATGTTTCTTGGCCTGTGTTTCTGGAAAAGAAGAATTCTTTTCAAATTTTGACACCTGCTGACTTTTGTAGAGACGATGGTAAGGTTTTAACAATTATACTTTTTGCTCTCACAGTTTGTAAACTCTTCTCTGTGATGCAGGGGTGCGGACACCTGAAATGCCTTTTCCCAGGTTGGGATTTAGTGGTGTGGCTGTCATTTGGGGCATCCCTAAATGAGTGGCAGGTGCTATACCTTAGCCAGCGCCATCTCCCTAGGGCCTAGGCCTTTCGTTTTTCAGTAGGGTGGGCTAAACCCTGGAGCAGCAGCCTGAAATCCACAGAACAGGCTCAAACCGAGATTAGCACACTGAGTCACAAAGCCACAGTCCCCTCAGAGCCTTTTGGGGGCTTGCAGGAAAGGAGTAGAGGGAGGACAGGAGCATGGCTCACTGATTTAGGCTTCAGCTGGTCGCTCCCTCATTTCCAGATTACAAGAACCACTACACACTGTTTTGTCTCTGGATTCAAGGCTGATCAAGAGCATTAGTAACCAGAGCTTTCACACGATGCTTTGACTGAGCTAGGGCATTGCAAAATGTAATACCCTGCCTTTTTGTAAGCAGTTGCTTGCTATAGCTTCAATTCCAGAGTGCATTGTTTGTCCACGTTACCCCAGTGTTCCTAAAGTAATGGTTTAGATGAAATGAGGGCCAACTGCTAGCATAACTCACCTGTAAGGCAGAAGAAACACAAAGGCAGTTGGCACCTTCCACAGGTGAAGGGGAGCTCTGAGTTACATTTATAGCCTTTGGGTGATCATTTAATACCGCAACTGTTTAACCATAAAGGTCCGGGATTCAAAGACATCCTTCAGGCACAATCTTATTTCCATATTTTCATTATTACTTCTTTCTAATTTTGCTTTTCTCTTGTCACTGAAAATTTTAAAATTAAAAATGTAATAACTGTCTTCTCCCTAAAAATACCCATCTAGAAAGAGAGCTAAAGGTTAGATTTCATCAAGCCTTTTCCATAGATTTTTACTTATTTATGTTTTTTATAAATGAATGAGAACAGCAGATGACAGCTGTTGTGTTTTTAATTTGTAAATCGTGTCCTCTTCTAGAAAGTCACTGGCATTTCTTCAAGGACCAAACTGATGCCAAATTACTTTCATGTATATCAGCTCATGTATTATGTAAATGTTCATACCCGTTATACAAAAATATATCCACTTTCTCTTGTATAGTATTCTTCACTGTCTAGAAAGAATCAGGTAAGTTGTTTTCTAAACTCAAGAGACATTTTTCAAGGCCTTAAGAAAATAGGTGCCAACTAGACATGATAACAAAAAATCTGACAGAGTAAAATGTAATGGCAATTAAAATCACGATGATTTATGGAAAACGTGATTCTCAAAAAAATTTACAATTTTTCTAATCTTAAAATCTTGTTTAGTTTGATTCAGTTCTTCATGAATGCTCAGCATTGATGTTTCAGTTAGCTCGTCACTTTATGAAATGCCCATTTCCCTGAAAACCTCTTGATTTGAGGAGAGAGTGTAGGTTATATTATGCAATCAGTTCCCTGGTGATCATGGATAGGGAGGGGGAGTCAGAGAGAAGGATGAAGGATGACACTTTTTTTATTGGCTTGAGCAATGGGAATAACAGGGTTTGGAGCAGTTTTGGGATAACATCGAATGCTTAATTTTGGCAGTATTACCTTGAAATGCCTGTTGGCCATACAGGCAGAGATATCAAGAAGGCATTTGGATATGTATCTGATGTTCAAAAGATTCAGGCTAAAAATATAAGTGGTAATAGTGACTGATATTGAATATGTGTGTGTGTGTGGATTAGAAGATGTTGGTAAGGTGAGGAATAAGGGTCAGAAGGAAGGGCACAGATATACTATTCCAGGTTGTTAGAAGTGCCATTCTCTGTTAGGAAATACAGATGAGATAGAGAGATATTTGGTTTTGCGTGTGTTTATTATAGACATTTATTTAACTTGAACTGGAGATAATCCAGAAGACTATGTAGTCTAATTTGATCCTTTTATAAGTGAGGAAGCTGAGGTTCCAGAACGGCTAGCTTGAATTAGATTAGGTAGCTATAAAGAAGACTATAAAAATAAAAGGCACAGCTCCCTAATTCTGAGGTTGACCAGTCATCCCTAGACAGAAAAAGGAAAAACAAAAACTTGAGTGGTCACATTGGCTCTAAGGTTAAGTGGGAATTCTTATCTATTTGGGGGAAGGATGTGCTGTCCAGTGTGGATTAAGACTCTCCCAATATTTTCAGACTCAGCATCTTATTTTATTTTTTAAATTCTCACCTGTATGTGCCCTTGACCAGGAATTGAACCCGTGACCCTTCAGAGCTCCAGGGTGACAACAAGGGCTCAGAGAAAGGCTTTATGGTGTGTCATTGGAGGGTGGGTTTCTTGCCAGTCAGGATTTCTTTATCCCGTAAAAGAGTAAGCCATCTGTCATTAAGGTCCTAGTTTAGGACCACAATAGTTAACATAAGGAGTCTTCTTCCTTTCACCCCAAGACGATGTAAGCCTCTGATTTTTGTGTGACCTTCAGAAGCAGCCCTATTAATGGCTGCAAACCTGTTGAGAAGTAGGTTCAGAGATAAGATTAACTTCATTCAAATGACAAAAGTTTTCAAACTTAGAGTCATAGCAGTGATTGCCTGATGTTGGTGAATTATAGCAAGCTTTTTAGAAAAATGCAAAGAACTAAATTCATCATCTACCTTCCCGCAGAGACGGGCTCCACCTCTAAGGTTCCTCCTCACTGCTGCTGTGTTCAAGTCCTTCAACAATGCCTGCTGCACAGGATTGCTGGGAGATTGAATGGCAAACTGTGCCTTGTATGTGGTTAACATTCAATAAAAAGAACTGATTACCATTCTTTCAGTCTAATATCCAAGAAGCATTACTTCACCATAATGGTTAAGGCAAAAGTTCATCCAAGTGCTGATTTCAGACAACTGTGTTAAGAGCCAAAACATGTTATGAAACGTGGAAAGTTATCAGTGCACTTTGAACCTCGGTTATCTCACTGAAGTTTCACTATCGGCTTTCTCCTAGCCTTTCTCCTCATGGTTCCACTGGGCAAACTGGAACAGGTATAACTTAACTAAAAGAATAATCAATTACATTTACTTCAAAATGAGTTAGAAGCTGACTGTACAGATTTCTAGTGTCATTCTCATAGACTAGAGGCCCGATGTACGAAATTCTTGCAAGGTTGGGGGCCTCTGCTGCCTCTGCCTCGGCCCCCGCCCACTGCAGCTTTGTCCAGAAGGAAGGACATCCGGAAGGATGTCTGGTCTAATTAGCATATTATGCTTTTATTATTATAGATACTCTAGTAGGGTGCTACTACAGTATGACAAATGTATGGAGAGGAATCGAAGTCACAGTATTCAAACGTAATGATTTGGAAAGCAGGCATTTTTACTGAGATGTGTCTTTACTTCAACTAAATGTTGAACATAGCCCAACAGTAATTGTGTTTTGATTCTCTATATTAGAGGAAGGTAGTTGATGGACAAAAGGGAGACATTTATGTAGGAATGATACCTTCTGAAATTCTCTTTTATGGTATAGAATCTATAGAATAACCTTCCTTAAACAGACTGTCATATGGTCCTTA